TTAGAATATAAAAAGAAAGTATATTAAATAAAATTAAAGATGTTTTAAAAAAAAATAGACAAAAAAAAATTTTTTTTTAAATATTTTATTTCGTTTAATTTGATTGGTTGACCCAAATTTTATCAGGTCGTGTCATAAGCTTGACCCGACCTAATGTTGACCTGAAAATTTGTCTACCTGACCTGGATTTTTTGGGTCGGGTCACAGGTTGACCTGACCTGATTCAAAGCTCTATATGGAAGTTATTCTAATATAATAGAAAAATTTATATAGATTTTATGAATGAACAGAGCACACAATAGCAGTAAAGGTAATGCAATTTCATCCTAAAACCCTCACAATGACATTGTATACATTTAACCAAATTTTTAAACTTTATTGCTATAATGGTGACCTCATTTTCGTAATATTTTCTTTTTATATTTTAACTTATATTATTTATAATTCATTTTCAAATTATTTTAAATTAAAGCATAATTTATATATAAATAAATTTAAATATATTAAACTCGGTAAATTTATGAAATATTACATGACTGAAAGTTTTAAATTAAATTTTATCGAAAGATATAAAATTTTTAGCATAAATTTTCAAAATTCTTTTATTATCGTAAGTTTTAGCATAATATTACACTATAATATTTTAAAGTATTATGCTGTAAACTTTTGAAATTTTAGTATTTTTGTAAGTTTTATATAATATTATACTATAATATTATGAAGTATTATGCTGTAAACTTTCACATATTAATACTTTTTAGTATTATATCATAATATTATAAAATATTACGAAAATACAAATTACATAATTTTACGATAGCCTTGTAAGTTTTCATAATATTACAGAATGTAAGTTTACATAATATTACGTCTTATTAATTTACTGATATATATGATCTAAAAATTTTGATATGACAATATTATTTGTTAACACTAATATAATATGTGCATAAATTATTACTAAATTAATTAAATTATGTACAAAAAAGATAATTTTATATAAGAAATTGTTATGATTTTCTTATTTTAATAATAATTTATTAATTTGTGTACATATATTTTAACTTAGATTTTATATACTAGTCAGATGTGAAGTTTATTAGAAAAAATACTAATTAAAGTTGTATCTGAACTGTTAGAGAGATTTTTATTATTATTTAATAACCTGAAATTTTAGATTAATTTGAAAATTTTCAGTTCAAATCAGATTAATCAAAAGTTTCAAATAGTTCAATTCAAATTGATATTTTTGAATTTATAATCTGAACTGAACTGAAAATCCTAAATTAGATTAGATTGACCTTTAAACTGGGATTTTCAAAGATTTATTTGGTACAGTTCAATACTATAAAAAAATAAGAAAAAATAAGTAAAAAACTGAAAAATATTTCTAAAAAAATCCTAAAAAACTACTTATTATATCTTATCAAAAAAATGGTTACTATAAAAAAAAAAAAAATATTAGTGAAAACTGAAAAAAAACATTTCTATAAAAAAAAAGAAAGAGTGATTCTAATTTCCTAAAAAAATTAAATATATATATTTTATGTTTTATTATAATACATAAGATTAATAGTAAATAAATAATAATAAAAGGTTAATAAAAAATGAAAATTATCATTGAACATGATATTTCACTTTGAATCAATAAAATTCATCATTGATTAATGAAATCATATTTGAATATAATATTTCATCTTTAAATTGACGAAGTTTTGCTTTTGAATACAAAATTCATTTTTAAAATGACAAAAATTGTCTTTGAATATAAAATTCATCTTAAAATGATAAAATTCGCTTTAAAAATAAAATTCATCTCAAATTAGCGAAATTTTAAATTAATAAAGTTTTCATTTATAAATGTAAAATTTGTCTTCAAAATGATAAAAATCAGTTTCAAATGTGAAATTTGTCATCGTTTGACAAATTTTATTTTAATTCATTAACAATTCTTAACAAATTATTAAATAATTTTTGTTAAAAAATAATCATAAATTAACTGTAATTACTATTATTTTTTTTCTAAATCTATATATCATTTTTATTAATAATTAGACCTTTTTTATAATCATTATAATTTTAATTAAGTTATAATTTTAATCAAATTTACAAATCACATAACTTATAATTGTCATATAAATATTTATTTTTAGAATTTGATATTATATAACATATCTAAAAAGGAATTAAAAATATTTGTATAGAATAATGAATGCTAAAAAGGAAATGATCTATGTAATACATGATTATAAATATAATTATAACCAAAATTATGATACTTTAAAAAATCATACCTATATATAATTATACTTTTATATAATCATTGATTTTGTGAGAACTAATTAGATGATTATATAAAAATCTGACTGTATAATTTTATTTATTAAAATTTCAATTACAATATTTTATTATTTATTATATTAGTTTTTCATTTATTTACAATAAGATTTATAAATTAATAATTAATTAATATTATTTATAAATTTTATTTTATATATAATTATATTATTAAAATTTTTATGAATATATATATTTAGATATTTTATATAAAATAAAAACAAAATATTAAATTTTTAGTATTTATATAAAAAATATCTTATTAATAAAATTTAATTTTAAAATAATATAAAAAATATTATTAAATAAATAATTTTATAATAATAAACTTAAAATAACTATTAAAAAAAAATTATTAATTATATATTTTATATATTATAATTATATTAAAATTATTTTATTAAGATATTTATCTTTTAAATAATTAAAAGATCAGTAAATAAATATAAAAATCAAAAGTTTATTTTATTATAATGAAAATTAGAAGTTTTAATATTTATTATATGAAACCTTTATATTAAAAAGCAATATAAAAGTTAAAAAAAATAAAAAATAAGTTACTGTTAAATTTGAATATTTTCAACTAAAAATCATATTTTAGAAATAATTGTAATTATATTACATAATAATAATAAGTATAATTACACATAAAATATATAAAAAAAGTTCAGTAGATATAAAAAGAAAAAAGTGATAATTATATATACTTTATTTTTATCAGTAATTAATTTAACACAAAATATATATATTATTAAAATGTAGATCACATGAAAGGATTATGCAATTATAAACATTGCAACATTGGCTAACTAAACAAGTAAACTTTCCCATTCATTTATGTCCGCTTGTGATCCATTGAATCATAAAAACATAATATTATCAATTTATACTAAGTCTTATTATTGATTCCAGAAGTTGTTTATCACTATTCTAAAATTAAATTTAGTTACAGCCAAAAAAAAAACCAAGCAGATAAAAATTCATGATTTGCATTTAGTTCGAAATCATAAATATTTAATATTTTTATTTTTATTATTTTTTATTGAAGTTTATACATTTAAAACACGATAGCACATTGCTTCTTCTTCACATGCTTATTATAGTATGTCAACAATAACTATGTCAACTACAAACACTAGACCTACAAGAACGAACCGCCGAAAACGACCACCGAATCCAAATTGGCGTGAAGATTTTTATCGCAACGGAAGACCGGATGAACAAGAAGTAATAGTTATTTCGGATTCTCCTACACCTTCGCACAACCGACCACTTACTTCACAAATTGAAACGAGGGGTATGAGGCGCGGTAGGCGTTCTCCACCAAAATTATCTAATCCTCAACAGTTACAGTCTTCACAAGTATTACTTCAACCAATTTCAGCTTTACCGACACATAAAAGACGACGAAAAGGTGAAATTCAATCGATTCAAAATTACCAACAGTATAATGATACGTCCTACCGTTCTTATATTTCAACGAGTTCACATACTTCTGCACATTTTCGAGAACCAATTTCGACAAGAGAGGTAAGTAAAGTTTAATAATTCATAATTGATTAAATATGTGTATATATTATTTAAATAAATCGTTGATCTAATTATTAAAAATCCTATATATATTATTTTATTCTAATTATTTTTAGTCTTTTTCATCCGCATCTTCATCACGTCAAGCAATAATACCCAATTATGATGATAAAGATGGGCATTACATTGTAAAGATTGGCGATGATTTGACTTCAAGATGTAAATTCGTTGCCAAATTTTTTTTTATAATAATCTTCACATTAAGGCATATGATGTCTGTCAAAGAAAAAGGAAATGGGTTGACTTTTTTAATGAAAAAATCATTTAACATAATTTACAGACAGAATTACTCGCCAGCTTGGACAGGGTACTTTCGGAAAAGTTGTACAATGTTTCGATCGTGTCTCAAATCGACATGTTGCAATTAAAATCATTCGTGCAGTACAAAAGTACCGTGATGCGAGTAAAATCGAGATAAGAGTTTTAAATACTTTAAGTGATCAAGATCCTGCAAATATTCAGTGAGTTATAAATATTTTTTTTTTTGTATATTTTGAATTAATAGAATTATTAATAATTCCGACACAATTTAAATTTAGCAAATGTATTCATCTTCGAGATTGGTTCGATTTCCGCAACCATATTTGTATGGTTTTTGAATTATATGGTTCCTCGTTATTCGATTTTTTAAAGCAGAATGATTTTGCGCCTTTTCCGATGAATCAAATCCAACATATAGCAAAGCAATTGTTAAGTTCCGTAGCCTGTATGTTTTTCCCATTATTATTTCTTTTCTTTTATTTTTTTTCTTTTAATATAATTTTATATCGTATTTTAACAAGAACATATATATATATATAGTTTTACACTCATTACGTTTAGTTCATACTGATTTAAAACCAGAGAATATTTTATTGGTAAATGATCAATGTAGGAATGTACCTTCAAAGGCAAGTATTATACTTAATGTATCTTCTGTTATTTATTAACTTTTGAATTAAATTATTATTTGTTCTTTATAGCGTTCACCTGGGAAAACAAGACGTATATTATTGGACACGGATGTAAGATTAATTGACTTTGGTAGTGCAACGTTTGATGATGAATATCATTCATCTGTTGTTTCGACTCGACATTATCGGGCACCAGAAGTCATACTAGGTTTAGTATTTTGTATTTTCTTAACCAAATAAGTCCAGCTCGTAACATTTGCATTTTTATAATTTTATTAGGATTGGGATGGTCATATTCTTGTGATCTGTGGTCTGTTGGTTGTATTCTTGTTGAGCTGTTCACAGGGGAAGCCCTATTTCAAACCCATGAAAATTTAGAACATTTAGCAATGATGGAACATGTTATTGGTAGAATTCCAGATAGAATTGTTCGGCAAATGAGGTGTGTAAATAAAGGATGTATCATTAAAATGTTTTTTGTTTACTTTTTTTTTAATATTATGTTTTTTGGAATTAGTCGACATCAACAATCAAAGTATTTTAGGGGAAGTAGATTACTTAATTATCCCAACGATGATACGACAAAACAGAGCCGCAAATATGTCAAGTCATTACGTACTTTGGTCGTAAGTGATTATATTAAAAAATTATTATTAATTTTTAATAAATACCTAATTATTTACACGATTTTATAGGAAATTATTGAGCCTGAAAAGACTACTTTCAGAAGCCAATTTTACGATCTCCTGCATCGTCTATTGTTGTATGATCCTAACGAGAGGATTTCAGCGCGCACAGCGCTTAGGCACCCCTTTTTTTATATGTTATTTGATGAGGAGGGTAGACAAATTCGCTAATAGGACATTAAATATTATACATATTGGCAAGAAATAATTTTCTTTCTACTCTGTATATATATAGATTTGTCTGGATTTAATTGCGAACATTTTTATTTTATTTGATTATAGTCAAACTATAACTCGATTTGATTCAATCGTTAGTTTATTGTATTTTTCATTTGATTTTTTTTTAAAGCATGTAAATTTTTTTTTTATTTTTTTTTATTTTTTTATTATTTGGGACTTTATTTATTTAATTTTTTTTTTTTTTTATGTCGATAACGTTGATTCAACTTTGCATCGTTAGCATTGTTTAACAATTTATTGGAGCGTGCAAGACTTTGATGCAAAAAAATTTACTTTGAATTATCTCTAATTTGCTTCTCTAAACATATAATAATCAAAAGTTTATGTTGATTGATTCCCGACAATTTGCACGTTTTCTTTAGATTTACGATGTTCAGAAGTTATCGAAAATCGATTACCACGAATAGAATGTGATTTGAGAATTTGGAACTAAATCATGGAAAGAAGGGTAAGCTTGAACATGTTGAAAAATCTATGCTTGAAATACAACTGGATTGGGGATAACTTTTTAGAAATGGGTTCGTTTATGTTTAATTGTTGATTTATATCACGTAGTTACCAATTTTTTAATGTGCTCGGTTTTTTAAGTTGGTATTGAAATATATACAGTTATGCTTAGCTTAGCTTGACTTTATTACAAATTCTGAATTCAACCAAATACAGTATATTGAATTCAGTGAATTAGTATTCCATAATCTGTAATTGAGCAGATATTAATTATGGAATTACAAGTTAAAAATTATTCTAACGTGTATGCATTATTGGTAAGTATAATTTGGTGAGTTTTTTTTTATGATGAAATTCATTAAATAATTTTAATAATTCATGTTTTCTTGTAGAACTCTTAGTATAATATGATGATAAAGCTAAGAGTTTGAACTTTAAGATTTAAGATTTCTTGGTTGATTTAAACCTTTATTTATAGGTTATAGATTCTAAAATTTATAGATTAATAAATAAAATAAAATAAAAATAAATTGATATTGTTGTAAAGTCATATATAATAATTAATTATTATTATATAATAAAAAAATGTTATTTAAATAGTAAAATATAAATTAAAATTAATAGAATATTTTATATAAATTAAATATATTAAATAATTTGATTATAAAAAAAAAAAATAATAAATAATCTAATTAAAATTGTTATCTCTTAAATAATAAGAATCCTTATTTAAATTTGATTAATTTTTACTAATATTTATAAATTTTTAATAAACAAGTAATAATATTATTAAAAAATTCAAACCTTTTTTAGATTACAACTAATTTCATAATCTGTAGATTACTAATAAATTGTGATTAAATGTGACTGAAAATATTTTATAATAAAATTATTATAAATTATTACAATTAAATATGACTGAAAAATTATTAATAATCTATAAATTATGAAATTATCTATAATATAAAAGTTATTAATCAAATTGATTTAAATATGATTTTAAATAAAAATAAAAATTTTTAAATTTTAAATAAATTATTAATTATTTTTAATAAACATTTATTACAGATTTCGAATTAGTTGAATTTGCATCTTATCGATCAATTATAATTATAATAAAAATTAGAGAAAACATTGAAAACACTAAAAATACTAAAACATTCAAGAAAAATTGAAAAATTGTTGTTCGATTTTTATTAATTTTATTAAAAAAATATGTGTAATAACTGCTAATCTATTGCTTTATTTAAAGGATACAAGGGGATAAATAGCATAATTTATATAATAAATCAATAAAATATGACACACACATATGGGATGAATGCTGAGAAATAGACCAAATTGATTTTTTTTTAAAAAAAAGTTCTTAAGTAAAATTGATGTAGATTTGGTCATCTGATTCAGATCATTTGTTATTTCAAAAAAATTTTTTGTCAATTTGGTCCTTTTTCCCAGCACTCATCCTATATCTTCTGATATTTGCTATACTTGTCAAAAATATTTAATTTGTTTTACTTCAAACTCTTGTAAATGTAAAAAATATATAAAACTGATAAAAGTAAGTAAACCAGAATGTGGCTAACAAATTTATTCTTGTATATTTACTTCAAATAACAATTTTCATACATCAAATCAATTTTTATTTTGCTATTTACATAAAATTTCAATATAATAATAACTTTAATAATAATACACTTTATTTTATCTTCTATTTTACTTGTAACAGTAAATTTCAAAAGTTGAAAGATAATGATAAGAAAGTTGCATATAGCTACTGAAAAGAAAGGTAAAAAATATCTATTTCTAAAACTATAACTATTAAACCTGTTGGTTATATTAAAATTATAGAAGGAATTATCATATAGCACTGCCTATAAGATCTGGGTATGAATTAAACCAGATATGGAATCCAATTTAAATAATACCAGAGGGATACTATGTAAAGAGAAGGATACTATTTAAAGAGGTGGATATATAATGAAAATCATATAATTTCGTAAAACTCGAAAATACGAAAAAGAAAAACTTGAAAAATAAGGACTTTTCTAAGATTGTTAGGCAGGTAATAGTTTATGTTGATTAGTAATACCTAAGGTTGCTTGTCTAAACTCATTTTGGATTTGGCAAAACGGTTAAACCTTTAGTTTCGCTAAATTTTACTAAGTGTTTGATATAGTTTCGCCATTTTTATAAGCTTTGATATAGTTTTACCTTTTTTTAAATTTCGCAGATTTTTAATAAGGTTCTAATATAATTTAACCAAGTTTTATTTTTACCATTTATACGTCTGTCTAAACTCTTTATTTCGTTCAGCAATCTTAATGATATCTGATAAAATTACTTTTCTTAATATGACAAAATTAACAAAACTGAAATAACGAAACTAGTTTTTATTAATAACAAAATTATTTCACTTAATTGCCTAAAATTATATTTAACTTAATCTAAATTTTTTGAATAAAAATATATTAAAAAATATAATAATTTTATATTTATTCATATAAAAATATTAAAGGAACAAAATTTTTTGATGAAACTATAATTTTTTAAAAAAAAGTTTAGGTAGGTATCACTAATATTGATATAGTATTTAGACACTTGTAGAAACTTGCAAAACTATCTTTCTCTTATGATGCATCTAAAAAAAATAATTAATATATTTAACAAATGATTTATATATTTAATATATATGAAATATTTAATATCTTATAAAATTAATATACAGTAAATTGATATATTAATTAGTTAATTTATTATATAAATTTATTATTATGATTATATAAATAGAAAATATTTTATAAATTATAAATAATAAAATTTAAATTTTTATTTAAAATTAATATTTTGATAATTTTCTTATTTTTATATAATTATTTAATAATTATTTTATTTTTATTAATAATTTATAAAATATAAAGTTATATTATTATTATTAAAAAAATTTTAAAACTATCTGATAAAAATTTATTATATATGTTTATTTTGAATTTAATAAAATGTTAAATCTTTAGTTAATTTTATTAAAAATTTGATATTATGTTATTTTAATTCTTTATAAATTTTATTAATTATTTTAGCTGAAGACTGAATTTAATATAAAAGAATAATTAATAATATAAATAAATAATTATTTTATAAATTGAATGATATATATATATAAAAAAAAACATTTCAATGATTAAACTATAATATTTTTTATTAATATATTTATACCAAGTAGCTTTTTTTATTTTTAATACTTCTATAAATTATTTAAATAGATATGTTATTTCTTATAATACTAACTAGTATTAACGTTGTTAGTGATAGTTTAGTTATGACGCATTAATACTGCGCCAATTACAATTGGCAAATGATGATCCCGTCGATCATGAATCTCAACTTTCTATGATTTCTCTAATTTCTTAGCGATCTTAGCGATCTATAATTTCTTATATATCTTATATATCTT